TTGACTCAATTTGTATTTCACATAATTGTTTGTCTAACGGATAAAAAGTAAAATCCATTTGACTGAAACCATTTAACATAATCCTTTTAAACAAAAGTGTTAATTGTTAATATGGTTTAAATGTGCAGAGTTTGTCATTAAAACAGTAACCTTTTGCTGACCAGAACTTTGCCATCGGACTGAATGTGTGTGAGAACTGGATTCTGGTCACCAGTTTGCAGAATATCTGGCTGTTTGTTGTTAGGTATGTGCAGAGATGGTGTCCATATCCTGTTGACGTGCCACTGACCACCTTCTAATACCAACACTTTATTTGCTTTCGTATTATTAACGGCCAGTCTCTCGTCAAACCACTCAAATCGCATCAATAATTGTATGCTATATTCCTGTCGTTTCATTTAATAGACTATTGAAACCAAGTTTATAAAAATCAAAGATAAAGATCATTTATAAAAATGATCTCTAATAAGCTTACGGTTCGTATTTCATCAATAGTTCCAAAACTGAATAAATAAATACTTGTGTTCACTATAGTTGGCACTAATTTGTTAAATTAAAACGGACTGTATTATAATTATGTTAAACATATAGTTTATAACTTAAAACAATACTTTGGGCTTTGGGTGCGATCCATTTGCAGTAACCCATACTTTGAGAAGTTTTGTTTTCAAATAAGTCGATGTCATAACTGTCTACCAGTGGTTGACAAGAATTACTTTTAAAATAAAAAATGGCAATAACATATAAATTGATAAATTTTAATAAATTCATTTTTATAAAAAGTAAATTTTAAATATAAATGAGTATAGAAATCACATAATTGTCAAATTGAATACCAAATAACTAACTTTTACTGTTGGATATAAAGAAATTTTTATTGATTTGATTTATAATAAAGCTTTTTATCATGATATTTGGTTTTACAAATACTGAACAGTAGTTAATATATTCCCAGGATTAATTGGTATTTCATTTGTGTAAGCATTGATACTTCAGAGAAGACTTCACAATTTTGATGCAATTATTATCCTTTATTTTCATGTAGCAATTGATTGCATATAAATAACAAAATACGTATATAACTTAATTCATAACTTCATTTAAACCAAGTCTGGTTACTACAGTATTTTCTATAAAAATAAAGATATCTAAACATTGGTTTATAAAGTTATAAAAATTAAAATAATGATAATTTATTTTGCAATTTATTCTGTTATTTGAACACTACAAAATACTGTATTACTGCAGTACTACTGTTAGTTACCGGTAATATGAAAAATTTAAAAATAGATTAAATCTTTATTTGAAAATTATTTTTCTTGATAATTTTATAAATCTAATAATAATATTTTATTGTTACTAGTATGTTATTTATTTTAGATATCTGAGATATTATTTTGAATTATGCTGAAATAAAAAAATAATCATTAATATGGGAACAAGACAATTACTCATGATTTCGACGCCAATACTGTAAAACAATTCTTATCAATCGATTGATAGCTGAAATATTTGTAACTTTATTATTACAAAAGTACAGATTATAGTCAAACAAAAAAAGTGCACTATTTAAGTGCATTTTGCATAATAGATAAATTGTATATAAAATGCGGTTTTTATAATAGATTAATAAATATCTTTATTTCAAAAACAATATTTTTTATAACTTAATACAAGTGAGAGTTTGCGAGAACTAAAATTTAAAAGTATAGAAATGTAGGCAACAGTTGTCAGATTAGGGATAACGTTGAGATCAATTGTGTGGTGATAAGTATGTCTACTCACGTGCGCCACTCTTATCACTCCGAAACTGATTTTATGAATACACGCTTAAAAACTTTTATTATTTTTACCCTTGAATTTGATTTCAATTTACTTAACTGCATTATTATGGGTACAGTAAGTTTACAGTACAGTGCATCTGTTACAGTTTATTACAGTTTTCTTATAGATAAACAATGTATTAATTTCTTTCGCAAAGAATATTCAATAGAAATTCTTTCAGAGTATAATACAATATTGATTTTTAAATATTTAAATTATTTTTATCAAAAATAATTTCATGAGTGTAATAATTATTATAGAAATATAATATTATTTACAAATCTGTATACAATAGTGATACAGTATTTAACGGTTAATATAGATATTTATAGATATATTTAGCTATAATTGTTATTGAATTTAATATAGATTTTTAATTACTCAGAAAACATTGTCCAATCATTAAATCCAAGAAAACATATCCAGTATTGAGTAGAATTGGGTTTAATAGTAGATCACAAATATCATCTCAAACTAATGTCCATTATGTGGGTGACCATTGTGTTTATCACACGGACAGAAGGCACAGAAATGCATTGCAGACCATTCTTCGTGAGCATCCCTCACACTCTTGATGTGCTCCCGGTGCTCATCGTGAGCTACTTTAGTGAGTCTATCATAATATGTGAGTTCTCGTCTCAATCGGTTAAACCAGCCCCAGATGTTGGGGTATGAGCTCAGATCAAACTCGACTGCAATTTCGAGTAGAGTAACATTGGCCAACAGGGAGATGTCAGCGATGGTAAGGGTATCCCCGGCCACGTAGTCCTTATTGATTAGAAATATCTCTAAGAATGTGAGCGAATCTGTGAGCTCTACAAATGTGTCACTACGAGAGGCACTGTACTCATTGGGCAGCTGACAGAAAGTACAATATCATCAATGTATTTTTATTAATATTACCACTAATTATCATTATAATACTCACT